ATATATTTTTATTTTATTTATTAATTATTTTTTGTAACCTGTAATTACATATATATATATATATATATATATATATATATATATATATATATATATATAATATATATATATATATATATATATATATATATATAGGTGAAAAAAACAACAACTGTTAATTACATTAGTATATATATATACCTGATTAATATTTTCTCTCAGCGTGTGATAGTTGTTTCATTAAAAGGAGAGGAAATGTTATTGCAAATAATTAATGACTGCTAATATCGATTATTAATTAACACTCATATTGCTACACGAAAATTAATTCATCACTTAATTATTTTACATTTAAACGTACACATATACATATATACACATACATGTAATATATATATATATATATATACAGCACTACTAAAAAAATGACATATACACACTCACAGAAACTTGACTCTTTCTTTTGTTAATCATCTCTTGGGAAGACTTTGGGGGGAAGGATTGTTTTCTCTTGTTTCAAATTAAAAGTAATATTTAATCCACACCGATCGCATTACTTGTTGTATATATATATATTGTGATTCTTCAGGTGCACGCATTAAAAACATTATTTTTTAATTTATTATATACAGTTATGAGAGTTTTGATTTGTTCATTGAAAGTTTTAATTGAAAAGAAATTGATTAATTTAAAATGGGGTCCACCCTATTTTCTTAGGGAATTTCAATTCGAAAGGGTTGCCACTTGGGGCGTTGACAAAATCGCGCATGAATAAAGCCGTCTGCATCAAAAGAGAGCGACGCCTTCTTGAAAATTATAAGAGCAACCTTGCTCACTTTATTTTAAATCACTAAATTTGAGTAACTGATTTAAAATTAGTGAAAATATTTTTTGGGGAATTAGTATGAAATTCCACTGATTCCATTTATTACTAAATTTTAATTGGCATTACTAAAAATAATTAAACGGAGAAATTTAGAAAACAACAAAGTAATTTTTACTATACTTCCAAAGTAAATCCTAAACTGTTCGTTTCTGTTGATTTTTGCTCCAAAAATAGTAGAAAATACTATTTATAGTAAATTACTATTTTAGGAGCAATTTTTCGTATTTCCGGAGATAAAATTGCTATATATAGAGATGCGCAGAAGTTCCGAACTGTGTCAATAGTAAATTTTTGATAGAGTATACAATAAATACACTGAGAAAAATGTAAAACAAAATTAAAGTAATTTTTACTATACTGCTAAAGTAAATCCTAAACTGTTCCAAATTTCTGTGTATTTCTAGAAATTTTTTGCTCCGTATTGTAAAAATTACTATAGTTTCGAAGTAATTTTGTCTATTTTCGGAGCAAAAGTTGCCAAAGAAAAAAGTTTCGTACAATTTAGATTTTACTTTGTAAGTATAGTAAAAATTACTTTATATTCATTTTCCGTGTTACTAAAATTACTGAAACTTATAAGTATATAGTAGAAGTTACTTTATATTTTTTCCATACTTAAAATTACTAAAAAAAATTAATAATTACCAAAAATTACCAGTGTTCAATACTGGTGCTCTACTGGTACCAAAATCACGCCAGTACTGCGCCAGTACTCAACTTGATATAATATTTAAACTTAAATTAAATAAAAAAAATTATTTTAAAGACGACAAATTTTTTTTTAATTAAACTAAAAACTCAATTTAATAAAGAAAAAATTTAATTTTAATTTAATTATACACAGAGGGAAAAGATAAATTGACGCAAACATTAATAAACGAAATGAGATAGATGGTTATGAGAAGAAAAGTTTTTTGTTTGGATATACGGTATAAAAAGCCTAGTACATGGAGATTTTGAAGAGGGCTTTTGAGAAGGGCTCTCTACTGTTATCAATTGGAGATCCGCCCTTGAGACTTGAGAGTAAGAGAGAGAGAAGAGAGAGAGAGAGAGAGAGAGAGAGAGAGAGAGAGAGAGAGAGAGTAAGAGAGAGAGAGAGAGAGAGAGAGGAGAGAGAGAGAGAGAGAGAGAGAGAGAGAGAGAGAGAGAGAGAGAGAGAGAGAGAGAGAGAGAGAGAGAGAGAGAGAGAGAGAGAGAGAGAGAGAGAGAGAGAGAGAGAGAGAGAGAGAGAGAGAGAGAGAGAGAGAGAGAGAGAGAGAGAGAGAGAGAGAGAGAGAGAGAGAGAGAGAGAGAGAGAGAGAGAGAGAGAGAGAGAGAGAGAGAGAGAGAGAGAGAGAGAGAGAGAGAGAGAGAGAGAGAGAGAGAGAGAGAGAGAGAGAGAGAGAGAGAGAGAGAGAGAGAGAGAGAGAGAGAGAGAGAGAGAGAGAGAGAGAGAGAGAGAGAGAGAGAGAGAGAGAGAGAGAGAGAGAGAGAGAGAGAGAGAGAGAGAGAGAGAGAGAGAGAGAGAGAGAGAGAGAGAGAGAGAGAGAGAGAGAGAGAGAGAGAGAGAGAGAAGAGAGAGAGAGAGAGAGAGAGAGAGAGAGAGAGAGAGAGAGAGAGAGAGAGAGAGAGAGAGAGAGAGAGAGAGAGAGAGAGAGAGAGAGAGAGAGAGAGAGAGAGAGAGAGAGAGAGAGAGAGAGAGAGAGAGAGAGAGAGAGAGAGAGAGAGAGAGAGAGAGAGAGAGAGAGAGAGAAGAGAGAGAGAGAGAGAGGAGAGAGAGAGAGAGAGAGAGAGAGAGAGAGAGAGAGAGAGAGAGAGAGAGAGAGAGAGAGAAGAGAGAGAGAGAGAGAGAGAGAGAGAGAGAGAGAGAGAGAGAGAGAGAGAGAGAGAGAGAGAGAGAGAGAGAGAGAGAGAGAGAGAGAGAGAGAGAGAGAGAGAGAGAGAGAGAGAGAGAGAGAGAGAAGAGAGAGAGAGAGAGAGAGAGAGAGAGAGAGAGAGAGAGAGAGAGAGAGAAGAGAGAGAGAGAGAGAGAGAGAGAGAGAGAGAGAGAGAGAGAGAAGAGAGAGAGAGAGAGAGAGAGAGAGAGAGAGAGAGAGCTTTTCTCTCTAGAAATAACTCGAGACTGAACATATACATATATATATATATATACCTCCCAGCACCCTCGCGATATTAATTACCGGGATTTCACCCTTCCACTTGTCTGAAGACGCGCTAATTTACCGCGTTGAGAAACTGCCGCCCGTAGGCGAACCATACGTGACGGTTTCGAGTTTACAAAGTCATTTACACGTGGTTAAACGCACGAAAGATGCCTTGTACGTGCCTTCAAATGTATACACAAATCGTCTCTAAATCATTCTGATTCTCCAACCAAAAATTTATTTATTTCTTTGAAATAGCGGGTTCATAGAAAAACATTTCTTTCTCTCTTTGAGGAAAGAATAACAATCGCTGGTTAAACCGCATTGTTTTTTTTTTTCTAAAGACCCCTCTTAATTGACTTTAATTTATTATATCGTCAATCTTGTTCATATTTCATTCTAAATTGATTCTTCATAGACAAAAATAGAAGTTAAGAGTTATTTTAATCAAAAATGTAAAAAAACGATACAAAGAACAAAATCGCTCTCCAAAGAATTAGTGACATTTCACTGTTTTTACCGATTAATGATAATGCAAATTTGCCGGTTTTAGTCCATCTGTTTTACCGACTAATGGTAAAGCAGGTTTGACTATTTAAATCCGTCTGTTTTACCGATTAATGTACCCAGAGAAAAGGTTGATTTGCCTTAGAACCAAATAGACATTTATTTGTTGCAAAGAAATTTTATTTGATTTCAATAAATATTTTATTTATAATAAATACAATTTTTATTTTCGCTAAATAAATGTGCCAGTAGATTGTGAGATAAATAGACGTTTATTTAACTCAAATATATTAAATTTAGTTCAAATAAAACACATTTCGGAGTGTGATCCATCTGTTTTATCGACTAATGGTAAAGTAGATTTGACTATTTAAGTCCGTCTGTTTTACCAATTAATAATAATGCAGATTTGACTATTCTAATCAATAATAATTCGACTAATTTTCAGTGAAATGTTACTAAAGTAAATTGTTAAATTCTAGCTATTTTAGCAGTAACATTTCACTGAAAATCAGGTAAATTATTACTAATTTGAACAGTTAAATCTGCATTATCATTAATCGGTAAAACAGTCGGATTTAAAAGTAAAATCTGCATTATCGTTAATCGGTAAAGCAGTCAAATCTGTATTATCATCAATCGGTAAAACAGACGGATTTAAACACTGAAATCTACATTATCATTAATCGCTAAAACAGTTAAATTTGCATTATCATCAATCGGTAAAACAAACGGATTGAAACACTGAAATCTACATTACCATTAATCGGTAAAATAGACGGATTGAAACACTGAAATCTACATTATCATTAATCGGTAAAACAGTTAAATCTGCATTATCATTAATCGGTAAAGCAGACAGATTTAACAGTCAAATCTGCACTATCGTTAATCGGTAAAGCAGTCAAATCTGTAGTATCATCAATCGGTAAAACAGACGGATTGAAACACTGAAATCTACATTATCATTAATCGGTAAAACAGTTAAATCTGCATTATCATCAATCGGTAAAACAGACGGATTGAAACACTAAAATCTACATTACCATTAATCGGTAAAACAGGCGGATTGAACCAATTAAATCTGCATTATCATTAGTCGGTAAAACAGTGAAATGTAATTAATTTCACAAAAAAAAAATATATAATTCTAATAGGAAAAAAATTTTTCAATTTACAGCTTTTAGTGAGTGGAGGACAACCAACAACAGCGACATCGCCGGCGATGTCGTCAGGTGGCGCCTTAAGTCCCGGTGCATTGTCGCCATCGTCAACAGCGACAACAACAACTGGTGCTGCGCCAGGAGCAACGTCTGGTGGCGCAAGTACACCAGTTGGTGGTGCTACGGGACCTGGTGCTGGATGTTGTGAAAATGGAAGGCCAATGATGGTTGACCAAATTACCGGTCATACTGTGTGTTCATGTCAATACGATAGTGCTGCACGATTAGCGCTTGGCGCATATCCTAGGCTGGGACCCACTGCTACCTCCTACTCAACGTATCCAACACCCACGCCTTCCACCACCGATCAGGGGCCCTATCCCAGTATTGGGATGGATAGCTCTGCCTTTTATTCACCTTTGGTAAGTTTATATATCACTTTGCTTTTTTAGTCGTGCGCACATCGATGAAAACTGAAACCAAAAGAGAACGAAAACAAAAAAAAAAAAAAAAAATAATGAAAGAAAATAAAATTTCGAACAGTATGTGTGAAACAGAAAACCGTTTAAAGTTTTTTGAAACCGTTTTATAGTGGGATGGGAGAAAAAAATAAGTGGTTTATTTACATGGTCTACAGGCAGAAAAAAATTTTTGTTTGAACCAAACAAATATGTTTTGTTTGAAACAAAAAAATATTTGTTTAAAACAAATAAATTTTGTTTCAATCATATAGAAATTTTGTTTGTTATAAGCGAAAAATTGTGTTGATACAAAAAAAATGATAAGGTAACTGACAAAGTACCATTTTTAGGTTATGTTTGGTTCCAAATTAGGATAAATAAATATTATAAAGTAGAAATCATAGATATAATACAGAGTAAAGATTATTTTCTACTTTATAATATTTTTTTTATCCTAATTTAGAACCAAACATAACCTAAAAATGGTACTGAGTCAGTTATCTACGGATCCGGTCAGTTACTTTACCATTTTTTTTTTTTTGTATTAACACAATTTTTCGATTATATTAAACAAAATTTGTTTGATTCAAATAAATATTTATTGGATTTAAATAAAAATTTGGTTTTTATATTTTATGAGGCTGTTTTTATCGCGAAGGGTAAAGTAGTAGCGCAGACTCAAAAATACGATTGGTGATTGGATGATTTTCGTGTGTTCTGCGCAGATGCAAATTTATTCTGTTTCGTTTATCCATTTCCTATACTTTATCCTCTGGAGATAAAAAAAGCCTATTTTAATATATTACCTTAAAACAACGGAAATATAATTCTTTAATAATTATTATTATTTATTTGGTTCAAACAAATTTTTTCAGGGATAATTATAATTCAAAACTTATTGAAAATAATTTCGGTTTTCATCTCCGATAAAGTATCGTGATAGAAGTACATGGAGAAAAATTGAAAAACGAATAGAGCAATTTTTACTATACTTTAAAAAGTAAAACCGAAACTGTCCGCAGTTTCTGCGCAGTTCTTGTAATTTTTACTGCAGAAATAGTAAAATCTACTATTTTCGGAACAATTTTTTACTATTTCTGTAGTAAAAATTGTCAAAAATGCGCAGAAACTGCGGACAGTTCCGGTTTTACTTTTAAAGTATATATGTTCCTTTTTCCATTTTTCTTCGTGTAACATTAATAGCGCAAATTTTTAATTTTTTTTTATTAATATAATAAAATTTTTTAATTTATTAATATACTAGAATCTCAGAATGGAAAATGTGCACAATAATAAAGTATAACGTTTTATTAAAAGTTAATAGAATTATTTTCTTCTTCTTCTTCTCTCTTTTTTTTTTTGCGTAATATATATTTTTTAGACGATGATCTATAGATCACGAGCAGCATGCTGCATAAAATTATATTTACGTGTCGCCGAACGAATGAGAGAAAGATGCGATAATCCTGAGTAAGCAATATAGCGCGCGCTTTAACTTCGTGGAAATGAAATGTGCATGCGACCTTAAACGAGCCTCGTGACTTATTCTGAAACATATTTCAACAACTGTCAGTGTTCTTGTACGGAAAGAAAATGGTGACAGTCGTCTACTAATTTCACCGACAAGAATTAACAGAGACGATAAAAACATTATTTCATGTCTAGACTCGTTTTAGAAATTATAACGTATATATATATATATAACAATACATAGTTAATTTTTAACTAAAGTAAATTTTAACCGCCATTTTTCAAATTGACATTTTACTTTACTTTTTCATTTAATTTAACAAATACTTTTTTTTAAACGATTTTATATTTTCCTTATATACGCCAATTAGTGTAATTTTCACTTTTTATTAAACGTTATGTATATACAATTGTTAGTTGTGTCGATTTAATTTACATTTCTTATCGATAATTTTTTTTTTTTTTTTTTTTTTGTAAAAGAATTATCGTGTATTTATATTTGAATTGTATTAAGACATTTTTCTAATAAATATATATATATATATATATAGAGCGGAAATTATATGTGTGTATTTTGATGGCTCTGCGGTGAAAATCTGAAATGCTCCCTCTGTGAGAAATAAACGACAATAATTTTGATGGTTAAGTTAAGTTGAGGTGAGGAAGGGACGCGGCGGCCAATTAAATTTGAATTTATCGGCATAATTATACTAATTGGCCGCTTTTACGTACGACGTGGTAGGTCAATTTATCCTCGCGCTTTTCGAGAGTCGCACAGATGAGGAGGCGCACCGCTGCGAAATTATCGTCACTTTAGAAATTTAAACGAAATACTCAAAGAGAAAGAGAGTGAGAGAGAGGGCAAAAATATTTGATCTTAACTGTCGTAAAATAATTTTTATATTGACAATATTGTTTTGTTACTTATAAATATATGTATCGATACCATAATCTATATAGAATAAACATATATACTTTCGGCAATATATAATTAATGGTTCAATAAATTTTCATTTTCAAGCCTCGGATTATATACGATTTTTTCGATTTATTTTAATAAGATGCGGTATTTTTGACTTTTTTTACAAAATTTTGAAACAAAACACGTCTTTTTTTATATAATATAATGGAAATCTTCTTTAGATCTTCTTTATTTTCATTATTTAACAAATTTTTAACTACACAGAAAATTTAAAAGGTATATTAAAATAAGCCTACAACGCTTATTTTATATGCGTTTTAATTTTCTGTATAAAATTTTTTTCTAAATTAATTATTTTTTAATAATTTTAATGAAATTCTTTTGATTTAATTATCTTAAATTATTTTTCAATTAAAATTTTTATAAAATTCAATAATTGAAATATTTACACGGAGAAAAATGGAAAAACGAATAAAGTAACTTTTACTATAGGTACTTTAAAAATAAAATCAAAACTGTCCGCATTTTCTGCGCATTTCTGACAATTATTACTATACATAAATACATAGTAAAATTTACTTCTGAAATAGTAAAAATTATTCCAAAAATAGTAAATTTCACTATTTCTGGAGTAAAAATTGACAGAAATGCACAGAAACTGCGGACAGTTCCGGTTTTACTTTTGAAGTATAGTAAAAGTTACTTTTTTCATTTTTCCATTTTTCTACCCACTTGGAAAGAATCCCCGAAAAGTGACCCCTGGAGGTTCTATCAGAATTCCGCCGGAACTTCTAACGTAATTCCATCGGAGTTCCAAAGAATTTCCGATGGGATTCCGACGGAATTCCGATTAATTTTTTTTTTTAATTTTAGAGTACTAATTCAGTCGGAATTCCATCGGAGTTCCAAAGAATTTCCAATGGGATTCCGACGGAATTCTGAATAATTTTTTTTCAAAATTTTAGAGTCCTAATTCCGTCGGAATTCCATCGGAGTTCCAAAGAATTTCCGATGGGATTCCAACGGAATTAGGACTCTAAAAATTTTGAAAAAATTAATCGGAATTACGTTGGAATTAGGACTCTAAAATTTTTGAAAAAAAATTAATCCGAATTCCGTCGGAATACCATTGGACATTCTTTGGAACTCCGATAGAATTCCGACGGAATTACGTTGGAAATTCCGACGGAATTCTGATTAATTTTTTTTCAAAATTTTAGAGTCCTAATTCCGTCGGAATTCCATCGGAGTTCCAAAGAATTTCCGATGGGATTCCAACGGAATTAGGACTCTAAAAATTTTGAAAAAATTAATCGGAATTACGTTGGAATTAGGACTCTAAAATTTTTGAAAAAAAATTAATCCGAATTCCGTCGGAATACCATTGGACATTCTTTGGAACTCCGATAGAATTCCGACGGAATTACGTTGGAAATTCCGACGGAATTCTGATTAATTTTTTTTCAAAATTTTAGAGTCCTAATTCCGTCGGAATTCCATCGGAGTTCCAAAGAATTTCCGATGGGATTCCAACGGAATTAGGACTCTAAAAATTTTGAAAAAATTAATCGGAATTACGTTGGAATTAGGACTCTAAAATTTTTGAAAAAAAATTAATCCGAATTCCGTCGGAATACCATTGGACATTCTTTGGAACTCCGATAGAATTCCGACGGAATTACGTTGGAAAATTCCGGCGGAATTCTGATAGAACTTCCAGGGGGCACTTTTCGGGGAATCTTATTCAAAGTGGGCTCCGCGTGTAATTGAAAAAATCATCAAATAAAATTACAAAAAATTATGAATTCATAAATCACTTGAAATTGAAATATTTTCAAAAATTTCAATTTAAAACCTTCTAAAATTCAATTACTTCTAAAATTATTATATTTATTATTATTATTAGATTTTATGTAAATTTTATATATAGATATTTTATTAGATAGTTATCTTTGGTAAAGAAAATTGAAGTTTGCGTTTATATAAAAGACATAATACTGATTATGTGTAAGATAATTAATCTTTTAATCCTGTGGATAATTTTTTTTTCACATTTCAAAGGAAATCGCCATTTAAAGTTGACACGACAGTCTTTTTGGCTCTCATGATAAGATAATTATCTTTATTGACTTTCGTTCATTTTTTATTGATATCAATTTTGCCTTATGTGAAATGTATATATATATATATATATATATATATATATAGATCACTCGATTTCACAAATGTAAATATACGTTTTTTCATAATTTATTTACAAATTAAATTTTACTGAATGAAAATTCGTATATTTAGATGCGACACTTTTCTATTAAATGCAAATGAGAAACAAATACAAATTTTGAAAATAAAAATTAAAAATCAAATAGATGCAAAAAAAAAAAATGGAAAAACGAATAAAGTAACTTTTACTATACTGTAAAAGTAAAACCTGAACTGTCCGCAGTTTTTGCGTATTTCTGACAATTATTACTATACATAAATAGTAAAATTTACTCCTGAAATAGTAAAAATTATTCTGGAAATAGTAAATTTGACAATTTCTGGAGTAAAAATTGCCAAAATGTGC